GAGGATTAGGAATTGTGATAAACTATTTGTCCTAGCATTTTTAAAACAATTGGATTAGATTTGAATTTTTAAAAGGGGTACAGTTACTTATGACCCTGACTGTATATAAAGTAAATTATAATTTATATATAAAATTTATATAAGTTAATATTATTTTAATATTGATTTATTATATCAATTGTTTTAAAAATTCTTAAGTTTTTGAATTAAAATTTACTTGTAATAAATAATATAAAATATTTTTTTTTTAATATAATTATTATTAAAAAAATTATTAACAAAGCAAATACAATATAATTAAAAAGAAGTTGTTTATTATTATTATTATCTTAAAATATATACATATATATATGTTTTTAAATAAAACTAAAATTATTATATAAATTATTAATAATTTACTATATTTTATTAATTAAAATTTATAAAAATAAATAAATAGAATTACTATATATAATATTGATTATATAAATATAATTCAAATTTCAAATTCAGATATTTTTAAATTATACTATATATTATTAAAATAATAATTAAATTGTATGTTAAATTATATAAAATATTTATATAATTATTAAATTATTTAAGTTTTTAAATATAATTTAAAAATAAAATTTTTATTTGTTAATTTGTTAATTTATTAAATAATTATTATTTTTGAAATTTTGTTTATAATAATAAATATTTTTTTATTATTATATTTGTTTAAAATTTTTATATTAAATTTAAACTATATTAATTTTATATTATAAATTAAAATTTGATAACTAAATAAATACTTTTTTATATTAATACTTGAATAAAATTATAAAATTTATAAATTACTAATATTAATTAATGTTATATTAAAAATATAAATAAATAAAAAAATCTAATAAATTAAACCAATATTGTATAATTTATAATTTTTTAATTGTTAATAATATTTAATATAATATAAACCATACTTTTTTTACAAATAATTAATCTACCTTTTTTTTATAATACAACTGCAATGATTCAATTAACATTTCATAAAACAAATAATTCTATTATTATCTATAACATATATATTTTTTAAAAACTAGAAGTTATTAATACATTACAAAGATTATAAAGGGCTAGATTAATATCACTTTTTTTTTTCACGTATATAGACAAATAAAATTGAAATAGACACCTTATCTCAGGTTATTATTATCAACACTCCACACGAAAGAAATTCCCTGGGAATTAAATACTGAGCGCTCCCTAATATGGGACGAATGCTCTGTCTCCGGGCAAATTCTCCATCCAACGCAATTAACCTTCACAGGTTGGTAAGACACATTTTCTTTTAAAAATGAATTTTGAAGCCTACAAATTTCGTTAATTGCTCTTTGTTCATCGATGAATACACTCCTTATTTTCTTATTTCTTGCGGGAAACTCGGTCTCGGTAACAACATAAAGAGCACCTGAGCGAATGTGTCTGGAAATAACTCCAACGTATAACAACACTTTGTTTGGAATATTGACTATTCTGAGCCATTGCTTGCTAACAGAACGTACGTTGAGCAAGAATTTAAATGGTAAAAAATTGAAAATGTAGGCAAGAAATTTGACGTTGCACATCACTTTACTAACTGCTGGTGAAGACTCCTGGTTTGAATGTGCAACAGTTCTTATAAAATTTCCTGGTTTATGCAGACGATGTATTAGATCCCGCTCTTCATCCGTTTCTGTGCATACATCATTGTTTAAACAATGTTCTTGAATATTCCAGTCGCGATCCATTTGTCTATTAAAAACACTTTCTTGCAAAAGGCGACCTCGAATATCTAAAATTGCCAAATTTTGCCTCGTAAAAGCTGCCAGAAATCGAACGTCTTTAAGGTTATGAATGGGTGCCTCTGTCGTCACGAAAATCTTTCCCCTATGTAATTTCTCCTTGCAAGAATATATGTGTGCAATAACTTGTGATGGTAGATTTATTAGTGCGTACCATTGTCTACTAACACACCGAGCAGTGATGTACGTTGGCGTAGGTAACGAGGCAAATATCTCGAAAAGTAGTTCAGGTGTAGTTAATACCCTTAAAATTGAATCCAATATTAATAAAAAAAGTTAGTCTTTACTATGCATGTCGTATCACATATAGGTTCAAGTCCCAAAGTCAGGCCAAAACCTGACACTCCGTCAAATGTTTGAGCAAGATATTTCTGGCACCGTTCACTTTGATCCACAGAGATCATTTTATATGAATCTACAATTCCCACACGTCTTTGATGTAAACTCTTCGGTGCATTCAATGACCTTGAAACCTCTGAATTCCCTTGATTTATGATGTAAAAACATCCGAAATCTAAGATGCGACCACGTCAGCATCGCACGAGCAGCATTTGACCGAATATTTCGCTTGTTCTTTAAAACCATCTTCAGAGATTCGAACTTGGGTAAAAGAATGATCTCGTAATTTTGGAATAACCAATGGGTCAGCTGATGATGACACATTGATCAAATACAGATTCGTTGTATAATTCATAGCATTTTTTTTCTCAATCAAAATCTCTTTTTCTTGTTTGTTCTTCCCAAAGTAGGATCTTAGTTACTTTTGTAATCTGTCATATTTCTTGGATAGTTTGAATACTTTGTTAAAATCACCATTACCCCACTCGATTAATTGACTGTTGTGATCGTGACCGGTCATAAACGTGCGAACACCTGGATCGAGCTTTCCCGAACATTATCTTGGGTATCGATGATATTTAAGAACGGAAACACTTAAGTAAAATGTCTCAGGTGATTCATAGTTATGTTAACCATGTTGATACCTGGTGATCGTTCTGATGTAATAATATTCTTTAAGAACGCATATTTCCCTCTTTCCTATTCAAATCCTTAGCAAGAATCGAGATAGTTTGTGTTCGATCCATTACTTCATTCGAAAATTATTTTCATGCAACTTTTTGTTTGTTTTGTATGAACCTATCAATTGTCGAATGGCGTACGAACGTACTCTCCTAGGGGTCTCTTTTAACCAGAGGAGAATTTCACTTTTGAAGCATTCATCATTCAAGTAGTGCCTTCGTATGGTGCTCATGTTGGTGATTCCATCGTCATAGACCATCTCAAGAACCTTGTTGTACATCTATCTCGCAGTTCCCATCCACTTTCTTAACTTTTATCTTTCTTCGTGCGTTAGGTAAGTCCTTATATTTCGTGTTTTTAATCTCTCATCGTTTTCAGTTCTCGACTGATCTGAACTGCTGTGCCTTGCCGTGAAGATAGTAACGATCGATAATAGGTTATCGGCAAAACTCACCGGATTCAGTGTCATTAACGTTGACGTCCGAACCGAGTAACACGATCTTTGTACTGTTCTTGCCAAGAATCCATTCGACAAGCTCTTACGCAAATCCGCTCCTTCCTGGTAACCACAACCACCTCGATATCCCTCAATATGATCCATCCAAAATGGATGTGAAGCTCTTGCGTTCCAGTCGAAACTTGACCTAATGTCTCCGATGAGTTCGTAGTCTAGGCATTACTGTTTAAGGTACTCGCATTGCCTGTCGAGATTCTTTTTTTGCTTTTCTGAGATGACTCACGCGTAACAGGTCTTTTCTTTTCATTTATTCTTTCTTGATTTCAAACAACTTTTTTACATGCGCTATAGAATATAACCTGTTTCCACCAAATATTCTGATGCTTGATATCTTGATTGTTTACCTTCTTGAATCCCTTGCGATTTTAACATTATCTTTGCTCAAACATGTGAAAATGGACTTAAAGAATATTGAATCATCAACATTGATGTAATGATGATAGTTCGATATTCTTTGTCATTAATAATCAAATAATATAGAATACTTACTATTGTTAAAAGTGACGATCAGTAAGATGAATAGCAAATAAGTAGATTTAATTAATAATATTTGTACTGTTTACGAACCGTCAGAGCAGGTGAGCGTGTTGGTAATTTTATAGTTGACGTTGAAATTTCACATTCATCCGACATGACGTATCTAAAACTAAAATAGCGTTAAATCCAAAATAAAGTGCACATACGTAACACGAATCAAAGCCACCATAAAACTGAAGTCATTTTCTCTAATTATGTTGAAATTCATTTTCTTAATTAATAAACAAGGCCAAACGCGATTTTCTAGGTATTATACTGA